GGCACAGCAGGGGGGCGAAAGAAAAGCAGAAAGACAGACAGAAAGAGAGAGAAAGAGGGAGAGGGAAGGAGAGAGAGAGAGAGAGGGAGAGAGAGAGTGAGAGAGGGAGGCGAAGACCGAACGAGGGCGAAAAGGAGAGGGAGAACGGCAGAGGGACGGAGAAGAAGAGAAAGAGAAAAAAGAAGGATGACGAGATCAGGGTCGATGAACCGAGGATGTCCACCGCGCTGTTCGCCGAGTTTACTCACTACCGAAATATATTGTTGGGGGGTCTCGATGGTCCGGAGTGGTCCCAGTGGGTCAGTGGTTCACGGGGCATCCAGAACCGAGAGAGCTTGCCGGAGATACGCGGCGCGGAAACATCCTTTACGATTTCGGCTTTCATCCGTGCCTGGGACCACAAGGAAGATCAATGACGGTGCCACTTGGCAAAATCGTCGAACAATGATTATAGGAGACACGCGGAATTATAGGCGCTGGCATCATTCGCGCGAACGCCGGGCAGGAGGGGGGGAGGGGGGCAACGTACCGTGAAAGTAGGCGGTTAAATTATTCACGTCGACACGTATCGAAATTCGTGCGCCGCTGTTATATTAGTTTCGCGCTGCAGATGTGTATTTGTTCGTATTCACGTACGCGCGATATCGAATCACGAAGAATGCTGGTATCGAGTGCGCTCGCAAATCGTCACAATGGCGCAACGAGACGTTGGTCTCTCTCTCTCTCTCTCTGCCGACAACTGTTGAAATTTTACATAAAAATGTAAAGGACATTTGTTAAGTTATTTATAATTTGAGGTTGACGTTTCGCCAGATTCTTCATTTTATTTCGCTGGAGAAACATACAGTATAAAGGGATATTTCAGTGTCGCTATACGTTCGTAATTTATATTTCAACTGTAAAAAAAAAAAACTGGAAGTGTTACTCTCTCAGTGGAAAGCACCCGTAGACGTTTTCGATTCGATAAATTTGCCTCGCTGCAAGTAGCGCGTCGTTTGGTGGAAGCGTGTCGAGTAGGCAGGTATGTCGACAAGGCGAGTGTGATCGACAAGGCACCTCGTTCGGAGCCATCGGTCGATTTTATTTGGCGATCCCGAAAGGAAGAAAGGAAATCGCGTTGCAGAAGTAACGCGCGCGCCGAGGATCGTAAAGCAGGATAAAGAGGTTAACTGTTGCGCCGCTAAAAATATCTCCATCGCGCCTTCGCACCTCGCGCGCTGCATCTCACGAGGAAACATATGGAAGTGTCCCGCGCCGGTCTTGACGAGTTTTCGATACACCGTGGAGCGGCTAAAAATAAGAGACACGTATCTTTTATAACACGCGTTTTCTCGCATGTTTAGAAATCGAGACGGGGGGTAATCCTTCGATAGAATTGAATACGCGCGTTTAATTACATTTAATTATTTTTTTTGCATCTTTTGTATAGTATATTATGTATTATAGTATATTTAATATAGTATATCTTTAGTATTTATAAGAGAACTATTACGGACTTACTGTTTTTATTTAAAATATTGAAAAGTCCAGTTAATTGTCTTGATATTTTAGACTGAATTAAACTTAACATTCCTGGCAGACTACTTAGAAATTTTCCATCGTCTCATATTGGACAACATCGCGCATTGTATGGTTGGTGGAATACACTAAATCGTCTCTCCTTATTTGCTAATAATTTAAACAATGATATCGATCTTTATCATATGTCATTGCCATCTTTTAAAAATGCTATCATTAATTAACTAAATCTGAGATCCTCGTGATGTATTTTTCTATTTTCTTTTATATGTCATGTACTTTGCTTTCGCTTTTGTAATTAAAACGGTGAAGGATTTACTCTTCTTCTCTTTTTTTTTTTTCTATACTATGCTACTCTGTTTCTGTTACTTTTATACATATCTTTTTATTTCTTTCATGTAGCTCTTTATTTATAAGCATTACGTATAGCATTGCATTAAAGGGAAAAATTTCCCGTAAATAAAGTTTAATAATAATATCCAGAGCCCCATCAAGATCGGCGGGTGACACTTCTACACGTTTCCTTGTCAGGTCTTTCACACTTGTAAGCTCCTTTCGAAATCGACTCTCGGCGACAGTGAAGCAGGGGCAATGACAATTGAAGGATAACAAGCGCGTTAATCTCGTTTTTTTTCAGTCGGATTTGAAAGTATCGAACACGCTGCAATGTATCTACACGCTGCAAAAAATATTTTAGTACTTTCCAGCCGAGGATTTTAATTTTATTTACTACGCTGAGATATGCATCTTAACATTTTCTCTTGTTTCATTCGTCAACTTACATTTGCCTATTTCTTCTCCTCCTTTTTATCATACTATCATACTTATCTACTATTTTTATCGGTCTTTCGCGCGGGACCCAAAATATCTTGAAAACCTGCGCGAAAGGATCGCCTTTACACGCCCGGCAAAGATGAAACTCGTGTTTACGTTGTTAAGCCGGCATAATTCGAGCAGGTCGAGACTTTCGCGAAGAGAAAAAAAGAAAAACAGAAGAAAAAGACGAACTAAATGAACGTTGTGCAAGTGAAACTTCACGGGAAGACTTCCCCACGATGTGAAGACCGGTTACGTACATGATGCTGAGCGATTTCAATGAGCGGACGACAACACGGCAAAAGAAGTCGAATACAAAAATACCTTTATGGGGATACGCGGCGCGGCGCGGAACAATCCCCGTATTCGGGCGTGTCACTGCGCTGCAATTTGCACTGATCGATTATCCACGATTGATCACAGAGCCCGACCGCGTGTCTTTCTCAGCAGGAACGGCTGATTCGGGCAGGCTCGTCGCCAGCATCCCCCCGAGGTCGCGCTTAGTGTCGCATTCGCTTCTGCGAGCGGTAGAAACAGCGAGGTAAGAGCATTCCGAATGCTCTCGCAGAGGGAAAGAGACCGTGGATCGTTGACCCGCCACGTGGAGTAGCACGTGCATTCGCGAGAGATTTCACGCGAGGGAACGATCGTTAATAACTATCGCCTGGTTCTGCTCGTGCGCCGGGAGCAAGGAACTGCTAATGCGACCGGCGGTCGTTAGAAATCTCTCACGTTCCTTGCGCCACGGCACTCGCCTGGCCTAATCGCTCGTTAGACAAGTCACGTGCCGCAACGCCACGCTGAATTCGCCCCGCACAATGACTCCGGTTAGCCGGTCGGCGATAGTCCGGCCCGATGACGTTCCACGCGGTATCCCGGGGGCGATACGTTCGTTTGCACCTGCGCCGCGAACGTCTCGATCTTTGCTCTTTCGGCTTTCGTGAGAGATTATACTGGTTCGCTCGTTTCTCTCTCTCTCTCTCTCTCTCTCTTTCTTTCTCTCTTGACATTCGAAGAACGAACTGCCCCGCAACTGGTCCGCAGTCTCGCGTGTTTTACGAAGATAAAAAATTGGAAAGGATCCTTCTCTCTGCATCTTAATAACCGTTAGACCGTCGACCGGCGACGGGTCCTGAAATTTTATCACCAGCGAAAATTGGCGACTCGATCCGCGCGTACGAACCAGTCGGAGGATGTGACTTGGTATCCACGGGAGGTGTCTTGCAAAATAATTCCTCAGCGGAACGTGCTCGGTACACACAGGTAGAAAGGAGAGAGAGGAAGAGAGACGCGAGAAACGAACGCGCGGTAAGACCGCGACAAGAGCGAGCGGGGCGTGGAAAGAAATAGAAAAGGAGAAAGAAAACCAAAAACCAAGAAACACGGAGTTTTCGTCATTAGACGCTCATAAAATATCCCCCCGTAGCGAACGTGAAAGAGTCATTCTTGTTCGCTTGCGGTTCCAAGAAGTCCGGTTAGAATTTAGGCTACGAGGAGCTCCTACCCGAATCTGGAACGCCTCGGTCGTTGGCCTTGTCTTCGATTCCCTGCCTTCGAGATTTTCGGGTGCGACTCTGCTGTATGCGTGATTGTACGTCTGCATGTTAAAGCGAAGCTTTTATCTAACGAACCGTCTAGACCGGTTCGAGCCGGTCGACCCTCGCAAATCGCGTGACGCTGTGCGAGAACAATTTCGCCCCGTGACGGGCCCAAGGGACACGCGGAAGGAAAAGAAACCTGAACTACGGACATACATTTGGAGCCACCTGTGTGAGAGATACCATTGTGAATGTTCTACTATTTTTATAAGAAGTCTCCAGCAATCCCAGTACCATTGTTTATCGTTAGATCAGAAACTAAATAAAATCGACGTGCGTTCCACGTGACTTGCCGGCGGGTAATAAAGACCCACCTCTCGGATTACTCTACATAACAAGGTTTCTAAGATGGACGATAAGACGCAGGAGACGACGTGCACACATTGTACTTCACCTACATAGATACCAAAGGTGTATTCCGAGTATTGTGCAATTAGTAAATATGAAACAGAAATATACACAATGCGCCTGTAATGTATAATCGGCGTATAATTCAATAATGGACTTCCTTTTATCCGATCCTACGGAGATTTATACGCGCGACTGCTTATCCCAGTTTAATAGAAAAACGTCATTGATTTTACGGAATTTATTTATTTTATCGCTCGTCGGCGATTAACGCGCGGTGAGCGCGTGAGCTCGCTACCGTTAATTTCGCGCGATTATAATTGCACGCCTTTTTTTCTCGCCTCGAACGTGCCCGGGCCGGGTGAAGATCGAGGCGGAGGAGATGGGCCCCGGACGTGCGGCGGAGACGGAGAGGTCCGGAGGGAAAGGCACGAAACGATTCGAAGATAATATACCGATGTACTGAATTACGCGGCCGGCTACCGAATCATTTTGACCCACATCCGTGGATCGCCGTCGCCTCGAGGCGTCGGGATGCCGGAGATCCGATCAGGCGCCTTCTTCTTGGCGCTCCTTTGTCGGGTTCACCCGTGCGCTGCTGCTCATTTTCGGAACGGCGATAAATAATCGCGTCGCGATAGGGAGGAGAAAAATTATCGGGAATTCTTTTCTCTGTTTTATTCGCTTTTATCTGCAATTAATTAACAGAGAGCTCTCCATCCCCCGCATCTCTATTGGGCCCTTCTTCCAATCTGAGGTTTCTCGTATTTATGTGTTGGCGTGAGTGATGAGGAGGAGATAATAGGCACAACGTCCGAAAATTTATACACTGAAAGAAGGATTTGATATGATCAAAATTTGATCAATATAAGCCGACCAAATGTTTGGTTACTGCAATCAAATAATTTCGTCTCCTATACTGTATTGCATCATTTCGTGTACTATATGTACAGTATTGTATATATAGTATAGAATACTGTGTATATACAATATACGAAACTAAAGTACTGTATATATAATATAGAGAAATTTTTGTACTTGCCATCGAATCCTCCTTTTAGCGTAAGACGAGAAATCTCGAAGAGTGACTCTACACATGTACCTAATAAAAATGTAAATTAATAGATTTGTCCATATAATATAACGCTGAAAAAATACATCTCTACAGGAAGAAGCGTCTGCAATTTTCCACGAATCTCTGATAGCGATCTCTGATAGCGAAGCGAGAGACTTAATTCGTATTTTTCTCGTGCACGCACGTACTTCCCGCTATGTAAATACATCTTGTAATCACGCGCGCGATAATAATTCTATCGCGGCTTGCCCATTTTCTGGCACTATTGGGTCGCGACAGTCTCGGCGGGGAGATAAGCCGAGCGATTCGTATTCAGGCTGTGTTCGCGATTGTAGTTGTGGTATTCTCGGCCTAAATAGTTTTCGAAAACGACACCGTTGTTAAGATATGACGGTGATAATTGATGTCGCTAATTAATTCATGGATCCTGCGGGCGATATTAATTTACCGTTACGGAGGTCGTCGTTGAAAGAAAACCGATGCACAGGATGTTACACGCTTCGAAAGGCCGAGTATGCTCGGTATCTATCTCACGAATTTACTCACGAGATAATAAACATCGTATTTGCATATCTGGTGGCCAAAAGTCCGGCTAGTGAATGTACTAACGCGGATAAGGGTTACACGTATATATAAAGAAAGGAACGGGACACCTAGCCAGACTAAGCGGTGCTCTAGTTCAGGACAAAGAAACAATGGCCGCGACGCGGATAATTTTATTGCTCATAGCGATCGACGTCAGTTCGGGCTCGCCGGTTCAGAGCCATCGTGAATCCCACGGTCGCTCCGTGCCGCCTAATCCGCGCTTCGATGGGGTCTTCGAAGATGGCCACAATCATCGGGAAATCGGTAATCGATTTTTCAACCATACTTTGCTCGCCGAAAGTTTCGCAAGAGAACGAATCTTATTCGCCGGGAATGTTGTCATCTTTGTAGCTAATCGCGTAAACTCCTGGAATTCGAAGGAAGCGGAGAACGTTTGGGAACTCAGCGGTTTGCACGAGGGTGACATTATGATCCATCCGGACAGTCAGTCGTGGAAAAACGGCATCCTAGATGCTACTGCGCGATGGCCCGGTGGTATCGTGCCCTATTTCATAAAGGAGGACGATTTCGGTAATCCTTTAATCTTCTTTTACGCGCCATCACACGCTGCGACATCGTTGAGATCGGCCGTTAGCGATCCGTTGAGTCAGACTTGTTTTTTCCCCTCCGAACGTTCAGTTTGATCACATTACTGATACGCAGACAAGGATCAAGTCAAACTGATCGAGGAAGCCATGGGGGAGTACCACGAGAAAACCTGTTTGCGTTTTCGCCCTTACAAGGATACCGACGAGGATTACGTGAAGATACAGGCGAAAAATTCGGGATGCTGGTCCCTGGTGGGTCGTCACAGCCGTGGACAGGTGTTGAATCTGCAGAATCCGGGATGCGTTCATCACGGCGTGGTCGTGCACGAGATCATGCACGCCTTAGGCTTTTACCATCAACAGAGCGCCGCGGACCGAGACGAGTGGGTCACCATACACTGGGAGAACATTAAACTCGGTATGCGAATCACGCGGCGAATAACTCCGATATTGTCGTTCTTCGTTATATTCAGTCGGGATCTTCCGTTCAAAGTTGTCGGCAATCAGAGCGACATACCATATTTTGCATAATTCGCAATTACATGTCTCACCAGATATTTCCGAACCTCGCAACACACGATCGAGTTTCATATTAAACTTTTCCAGGTAAGGAACATAACTTCAACAAGTATGATAACCGCACCGTCACTGACTATGGCATCGGTTACGATTACAAGAGCGTCATGCACTACAGTTCCCATGCGTTCTCCAGGAATGGAGAACCTACTATTACGCCGAAGGTAACGACCGGTACCGCGCGATATTTCTATCGATTTCAGTTTGCTCTAAATGTTTACGCGATTTCGTAGAAGGAGAAGGTAAAACTTGGCCAGCGAGACGGCCTCAGCGAGAAGGACGTAGCCAAGGTGCAGGCGATGTATAAAGAACAATGTGGCGATCGTGAGCCGGAAGTGATCGGCAGCAGCGAATCTTCCGAAGAAATTTCCTTGGGATGGCTGTTCGATTGAATTCACCACGGGAATGACCAAATTATACGTGAAATTTTTTTAATACGTATGCGATCCAGTATTAAAATATCGTTGATATTGTACAAGCGTAATCGATCACCGCGCGTTTACGACCATATAAATGCATTTGTTTATTATTTAGAGCGCGATTTATAAAAATATCACAGTATTTCGAAGTTTGTCAGTCTGTCTAAAAATAAAGCGTTTAGTCCCATCATGCCAAGGCAGAATAAGGCTTATTTAAGCGACAATAGAGTCGAGTTTGGTCCCTAAAAAGTATTTTCCTCGTTTCATCCTGTGAGATAATATCAACTGGCAGGATTGTTCCTAATTGTAATAATACGTCAGTTGTTTCAATTCCATTACAGCGTCCTTGGCGGCCTGAAAAATATTGTTTATGAATAAAAATGTATCTGCGTAAGAGTGTTAAAGTTTATAAGACACCTGATATACGCATTTAAAATTTTCGATCTATTTTCAAGTTTCCGGATCCTGAGAACATTTTTAAAGAAAGAGCAACGCTCCATAATGTATTAATAACAATGATACTTTCTTCTGCCAATTAAAAAATTTCCTTTGCAAAGTGAAGTTCGGAAAGTCTAACAGTGCAATTATGGATGTTTGAATCGACGACATGATTGAAGTTTGGTAAGTGATTGCATTATGTGATTGCAATCCACGAACGTTCAAGATAAAATGGACACTTTCGATGTTTATAATAATTACGAAATTCGAGAAAAAAAAAAAATATCGGTTGACGAAAAGATCTGCACGTTGTCTAGTCCATTAGTGCAAGAGAGATTATTTCCTTTTTGATGGGCAAAAATGTTACGTTTGCTCTTCAAATCTTCATTATTTTATCGCTCTAAGCAAATCATATGCGAAATAAATCGAAGGCGTGTCCATTCATTAAATATGTAAGCGTATGATAGTTATAAGTGCACGTGTGATAAGCAATGAGAGTATTCATTGCTTCACATCAGTAATTTACTCACGCTTCGTACGGATTCATCCTCGTCCTCGATTAAACTCTCAATGTGATCTTTCAACGAGCTGTCCCACACCTGCTGCAATGCTCTGCAGCAAAATCTGCCTAACAGTCTGATCATCGTACATGTTCTCATTCTCAAGTTAGCTCGTGGATGACTGAGGAGCTTCCTGAACTGTTCCACCGAAACTCCTCGAACAAAAATGCGAGTTCTCACATGTGTAACTCGTATCAATTTCAGGAGATTGCACAAAGTGATTCTTCGCCCACTCACCTGGAGTTTTTGTACGCAGCACAACTGCTTCCACCAGCTCGGCATACTCAGGTTGAGACCGTAGTATGTTGTTCAGAATCGCAACGAGATCCGCAACGACTCTTGCTTTCCTCTTTTCCAAGGTCAGCAGTTGCTGCAGAAGTGGCATTCCATTCACGATGTAAATGGCGTCGCAAAACTGCATGAGAAATTGGTCCCTCTCGTGAACCAATCTACAAAGGACCAGCATCGAATATTCGAGCGCTTGGAGCTCATCCGCGGACAATGAAGATGCCGGTCTCGTTTCCGTGTTTGATTCATTCTCAGAACGCTCCGACATAAGCAGTTTTATCGCGTAAACGAGATTCGGCACTACTCTCACGTCCAAGTAAACCTGCTTGATCTTCTCGAGATTCTCCTTGTTGACCGACACGGTGAACGGCAACGACAATAAACAAGCCACGTATTCGACGACTCGAGAACTGGCTGCCGGATTTCTCAGGGGAGAAACGAACACGGAAACGCAGTTCTGTTGCAACATCGAGTCAACCTCGCCTTCCATGATCTCCTCCATCGAGTTTTGCAGAAACGCAATCCATTCTTCGTTCTCAATCGGTCTCTCCACCGCTTTCGGGTCCCAGTCAGGCAGTCTGACGTGCTTTTTGCTCGAATTCTTCTCACCGAACTCCTGTTCGTAGTCAATACTCAAACAGCTTTGCTTGCAATCGCCATCTCCCTGCACCTGATCCACCTGTGAGGATTTTTCTGCACGTTGGCCCACGTTAATTCCATCACCCTGGGCATTAGCATGATGCATTTCCATATCAGCTTGCCGTCCTGAATAATTGTCGGTCGTTTGCTTCTGAACAGGCTTGGAGTAAGCCTCCGTTGGGAAATTTTCCTGTACGTTCGCGCTATGCGGACAGTCATTCTGACATACAGCATGATCAGCAGCTAGAAGATCGCTTCTCAGAGATGCCCTCAGGCTGAGATTTCCTAACAGTACATCCACGCTGGCGCTGGAGTCAGTGCCACTTGGTTCACTACGACGTAAGGCTTGACAATGGTCGATCCCGTACTGACAGTAAGCTGGAGAAACTGAGTAACCTGGTTGCGACAGGCACGTTCGTTGACGATACTTCCCTTCTTGCTCCTGCATTTTTTGAACTGCTCTCTCCACAAATCTGTAAGGTCGTGGAAGAAATCCGGTTCAAGAATGACGTTTCGTCTACGTGTAATTCTAGACGAACAATTCATATTATTGGTGGTCATACTTGGATTGATTTGCAGAACGCATTGCCAGACTTTGCAACTGTTGCTGCTTCGCTCTCGCCTGACTTGCGGATAACGGAGTTGTAAACGGAGTAGATACGGCACCACCCACTATCAGAATCCGATCTTTGACGAATGGGTGGTCGAGAAGGGCGGGCCAGGTTAATCGCTGAGTGGGATCTTTCTGAAGTAATCCCTGCGAAGTGATCCGGTTGGAATTCATAATGAATCATATCTACACGAATACTCGATCAAATCTACTTTTAAATATACCTACTTGTAAGAAGCTCTTGCAATTTGATGAGATGTAATCGGGCCACTTTATCGCTTCGAATCTGATTAATTTGACTAAATGTAGTATCGAAGTCGTCTGGAACGGGGGAGAACCTACTACCAGTTCATAAATTATACAACCCAACGACCTAGAAGCAATAAAAACTTCCACGTAAGTTGAAGTGCGAACAAGATATACACAAGCTATATGAAGTAGGATCATGTCTTCTTACCATAAATCAGCATTGTGGTCATACGGACATTCCTCTATGAGTTCTGGTGCCATGTACAATGGTGTTCCCTTGATCGATGTAAGTACGTGAGTACCAGTGCTCATACTACGAGCAAATCCAAAATCACACAACTTGGCCACACCATTTGCTTCCAACAGAACATTTTGCGGCTTGAGATCCCTAGTAATATCATAACATTATTATTCATACGTATTACACGTCAGTTCTGTATGTATGTATTCGTGTATAGATACAAACCTGTGCAGTACACGGTTCGAATGTAAGTAGTAAAGAGCCGATACCAGGTCACCGGCTATTACTTGCGCTCTTTCTTCGGAGAGCCTGCCTTCTTTGTCCAGTATCTCATAGAGCTCCTTATCTGCATATTCTGTTATAACCACGATCTAAATCAGACATTCTACAAAACATCTAGACACATATGCTTCATTTGTAATCATAGCTACACAATTCGAGATACCTCATTGTCTGTCTCAAAGGAGTCTATCATCTGCACGATATTTGGATGATGCAAGTGACGTTGAATCTCACACTCCTGGCGCAGACTCTTCAGCTCTTTAAATGACCTGCCTCGCTGCAGGGGTAACGTATATTAATACATTAGTCACGAGCGAAATGGGAGAGTTATTTATAAACCTCATTTTTTTTCTCATTCGCACGGAGCACACACCACACATACCTTTCGTATCACTTTAAAGGCCACGATTTCACCGTCCGATCGCTTCTTAGCTTCATACACCTGCCCGAAGGATCCTTCCCCGATCTGCCTCAAGATTTCGTATTTTTTCATGTTGAAACTCTTAGCAAACAAATACGTTGAGACTGGGATTAAAAAGGTGCGCTTCTTGCACAGGCACAGTATGCGCATGCGACGGAACAAACTCGCTCAACGCGCATGAAAATAATACGCGCTGAATATAGGTATAAAATTAAACGGTCCAAAAATCAACGAAGGTGCGAAAGCAAGACTGATGCTATGCTTCTCACTTCATCTCATAGTACCAACATGGGTGAGATACCAGCAAAGGCTCTAGTCTTACGGATCTTGTGTGGCTCGAAAAATGCCGTCCACTAACGCCCTCTTACTATATATTTTGGCTAAAGTTCATGATAAATTAAACGGAAAAATATATTTGGAAAATAACACATAAGAACTCCGATTATATAAGAAATAGAAAATGCCATATATTTTTGTACTGAATAATTTTTATATAACTAGATATCCTTAGTTTTTATTTCACGTAATAATTCAAATCATAATAATAATATTTATATTGAAGTTAAAAGGGGAATGTGACTATATGAAATTTTTTATTTCTTTTTCTATTTCATACTATAGATTTGCTTTCGAATTATGATTATTAGCACAAATAGTTAATATAGGCACATGCATTAACTCTTTAAATAAATTCTAGAGCATTGATATTTTATTTGCACTTGATTTACGAGTCTGTGTGTGGAGAAAACATATGTATTGTATGCGATCCTTGTGTGATCAATATTTTTTATTCTTCTCATGTCGCTTATAATCACTGTGTTTCGTATAATGTCTCTCGGCTGATCTCTCACGATCTCGAGATTTATGTTTCTTTTTGCTGTCTTTGTCTTTGTGCCTATCTTTGCTCCGATGCTTATCCTTTTTATGTGATTTTCGATCTTTCCAATGGGATGACTCTTTATGTTCATGGTGTCTGTATTTCCTGTACGTTTCACTGTATTCATCTGCATATTTTTCGTGCCTGTCTCGATCCCTTGATCGATGATGATCTTTTCTCTCCGAACGCTCTCTTTTTGAATCATCTCTTCTGCTATAGCGGTGTCCGTTTCTCTCGCTCGAACTAGGATCACCATGATTTTGCGGTGAATCATGAAACACTTTATACAAGTAATCTGTTCTATCTTGTGTCGTTTCATAATTCGAGTCATCCATTTTAATATTCTGCATGTCCGTTGTATCTTGAGGATTAGTTTGTCCGGAAATATATTCTGTGTATATCTCCATTTGCTGATTTATCACTTCTCTGAGTATTTCGACGTGAGACTTTTTATTTGTATGAACACCTTTATGTTTAGCTCTACGCCTCTTTAAGTTACGTTCTTGTACCAACACTTCTAAGAATGTCATTTCCTTGTCTTCCTTCTCTTGTGGTTTCCTGGAAACAAAGACGAGATATGTTTGCACGTTGCATAAAACATAAATTATTGAATATATGTCTTTTTACTAAACATAAATATTAGTTAATCGAGCTTACAGATTGTTAATGTCCGTAATATCCTGTCCGATATCTGGTTTTGCAGTATTAGCGACGACATAGTCATAAAGTACTCTTCTTTCGTCTCTGGTGAAATCTGACAGAAGTCTATCAGACGTATGCGGTATTAACCGCTCACCCGTACCTATTATCAGTGTTAAGAATTTACATTTTTGGAAATTCTAACACACACAATATAATGATAATATATAATCAAGATATAACAACATTCTGAGGTTTTTTGTTGATTGCATTACTAAGTAGGAAAATGAGATAATATAGTAATAAATATAGTTTAAATTGCAAATGTTAGAATGTTTTATAATACTTTTTTTATCATGTAATTAAATATCGAGCAAAGGATATGCAAAAGGATATATTGATTCCGCACCAAGTATAACACTCATAACTCGCTGGAAAAAATCAAATCATTTAAGATGCATAAGAATGCACATAATAAATTTCTATACTTCTACTAACCGATTTGCATTGTTGGGTCCTGTTCTTTGGCCTCCTTTAGAATTTTATTTTGTAGTTGTTTGTCTATGTCAAACATTTTATGCAAGCATAAGTTTTGTTATGTTCTAAAAAGACTCAAGTATTTATCACAGCAGCTGCTTACCAAATTTTACAGAAAATGGTGAATCTACCGGCAACGTTTGCATAGACAATGGTAAATCTGTTTCCCTATAACCTGCAGTTTTCCATTGACAAGAGGTAAGATGGTCATTGAGAGATTTTTCCATTAACCGGTGTGAGGGGTTATATGGACATGTGATGTACTCCTTGTCCTATTAAAATAGTAATAATAAAATTATGATAAATGATGATTATAAATATAATGATATCAAATATTTTAGATATACCCCACACAATTATATTTACCACATTTGTCACACTCTCCACTGTCCAACCTAAGGAGCCAACGATATCAGCAATTTGTTTATTGACTACGTCGGTGAAACTTTTCAGCTCTCTCAGTTGTTCTTCACGAGAACCAGTCATATCTTCTAACGTATCCATTTCAAATCTAAATAATGATTTATTATATCACACAACCAAGTATGCTTAAAATCCGTTCAGCACGGTACAGCCTCGCACAGCCATCGACCATCTTCTCCATTTTAAGTGCAGTAAGTGCAACTTTATGCAGCTGTAAGGAACAAACCTAAAGGTTGATGCACACCCTTCGATGTGAATCTCGAGGCTGGCAGTTTTTATTCTTTGATGTACTTTGGAACACAGCCACGTCCAATGGGAAAATTTGTTTTGGGAAATTTTTAGAAGACACTTCTTTTATTGAATGTTAGATGCGTTTCGATATTCGATAGGAAAACGATTATTTTATTCGAATGTAGAAGCGTATATAATAATATTGTAACAGAAATTATTTTAAGATTGTGAATAAATCAAAAGCTCTATTGAAGAATTGATTTAATGTTAAATTACATATTTTTCTGAAACTACATTTCTATGGTTATCATCTATGTTTGTTTTGGTACGAAGTTTACCAACAGAAGGTTATTGTACAGAAAAATTTTTCGCTGTATACTTTATACGCTACATTCACAATAAGGACAGCAATCTTTATTCTCACCTTATCGATATTAATTTGCCAGGATTTAAAAGTCTATTTAGTCGAGTTTCCAAGCGCTTAGCAGGGATTCAAATCTCGCATCATTGAGACTTGATACGGCGCCGTTAGATGGCATCAGGCAGTCTGTTAGCCACACTATGCGTTTTCTGGGTTTGCTGTTATTCTAAAGTGTAGTTCCTCAGTCTCCGCTATGAGCCACTACCGTCTTTAAGTCTGTAAGTATTACAATTCAATAACAGCACGGTATTTTTATTTTTATTTTTAAGTAACATGATTTAACGACGAGTCAGAGGCATTTTTATTTTCAAACGTAACTACTTGACGGCTGATTCTTATTTTTCAATAATATTTTTCAACAACTGGCCGTCGTCCTTTTCATCTAACCGTTTGTCGTCTCATCGTCGAATAATTTAATGAAAGAAATCGCATTGCAATTTATCGATACGCCAATGAAAGGAAAGATCTTCTGTTTTGAATGATGTGAACGTCACTTGTGTACGATTCGTCGTTTAGACCGTGCAAGTTGACAGGCTCAAAAACATCTAAAAACTAGAAAATTCAAGCTCTGTAAAATATTTCTCGAACCATCTCATTGCCATTATTTGTCGCCGAAGTTACAGCTCGTTTAATTTTACTTATATTTTTTACGACTCAACATAAATAAAAAAAAAAAGGAGAAACGTCGAACGAACAGCGTGTAAACACCGCAATCCCGATGATTCACTGCTTCGCGTGACAACGGCATTTCAACGACCTTAGTTAAGCTCTAATTATGTAGCAAGAAACGTATCGACAAACGAACACTGTCACCTCGAATACGCACTGTCGGAGAAACCGGATCCGATTAACGCGGCCTCACGGTGATCAAGGAAGCGCTCGTTAAAGCAGTCAACGTGAACATGTAGACCTGTTTCGTTTCATTCTCCGACGAGTGTAGCTCAATAATTTACAATATAGTGTTTTTCGTCGACGAACGTCTGAATCTTACAAAGACACATTGAAATGCATCCAAATGTGTCCCTTAACCCGAGAAAGGGAAATATTACGATACTTCTCGCAAAGTATTTTCACAGCACGTGTTGTATACACATACATATGCATTCCTTTCTCTTTCCTCACGATCTGCGAGGGCCACGACGTTCGATCCTGCAGCGATCGCTTCGCGCCTTCTTTCAGGACAGAGGCGGTCAGTTAGTGATTTAAGCGCTTCAATTAGAGGCAGCCGGCGGAGTCATGACAATCCTCGCGACGATAAATCGGCCGCGAGTATTCCCGACTTCGGCCGGAAAGAAAAGAAGAATCACTAGCTGCCGTGAATCAAAACGACAGGTACAAAAGGCAAGACAAAGTGCCTTCTCGCCGCGAGAGAACCAAATTCGCGTGCGAATCGCACGGATGTTCCCGTCGGCGTCTCCGTCGAGAAAGGGGAACCGTAGGAGTACGAGGGCGAAGATCGGGGACGGAGGGGACCAGTGGACAGGGGCGAGAGAGATGGAGATAGAGAGGAGACGAAAGAGAGAGACAGAGGGAGAGAGAGATGTTAGATAGAACGAGAGAGCGAGATAAAGAGAGTCGCGGCGG